AGGGTCTCTGTCGTTTAGGCTGGAGTGCAGTGGTGCGATCATAGCTTCATACCTCACTACAGCCTCAGCCTCATGAGCGCAAGCGATCCTTTCACCTCAGCCTCCCGAGTAGCTGGGACTATAGGCATGCACCGCCATGCCTGGCTAATTTTTGTATTTTATGTAGAGACAAGGTCTCACCATGTTGCTCAGGCTGGTCTCAAACTCCTGGACTCAAGTGATCTGCCTGCCTAAGCCTCCCAAAGTATTGAGATTAAAGGTATGAGCCAGTGTGCCTGGCTTCACTGTACTTTTGTTTTACATTTCCCTAGTGACTAATGGCATTGGACATATTTTCATGTGCTTGTTGGCCATTTGTATATCTTCTTTGGAGAAATGTGTATTCAAGTCCTTTTGTTACACGCCGAAAGAATGAGAGTCATGGTCAACTCAGTATACCACTGGAGGCTATATGAGTAGACAGCAAACTGTTTCTCATAAATGCAGAATGTTGGCAAACTGACAAACTGTGTCTGCCACCCGGAAGGAATACTGAGGGCAGTCATGCCCCAAGCGCAGTGTTTCTTGTGATTAGGTACATCTGAAGCCTGTTAGTAATAATATGAACCTATGATCAATTAAGGAGCTGACCAATCATTACCTCCTCCCTGCTCATTCTACCCAATAAATACGAAGGGCTGTGGAAGCTCAACGTGGGGGGTGGGGGCTGCCTTTGCTCACTAGAAGCAGAAAGCTCTCTTCTTCCCTGGACCCTTCCTTTAAAACAGTTTCTTTTGTCCTAAGTTTTCATTTCTATGTTTGTTCCCGTTCATTCAGTCTTGTAATGACGGTCTCATTCAGTCTTGTAATGACGGTCTCAAGTACTAACAGTAGTAACTGTCGTAATGATGGTCTTAAGTAGTAACAGTAATAACTGTCATGGTGATGGTCTCAAGTAGTAACCATGGCAGTCTACCACATCCTTTGCCCATTTTTAAATTGAATTGTTTGTGTTTCTGCTGAGTTGTAAGAATTTTTATATATTCTATATAATAGACCCTTATATGATTTCCAAATATTTTCTGTCATTCTCTGGGTTTCTCTGTTTTTTAGAAATGACATCTCACTCTATTGCCCAGGGTGGTCTTGAACTCCTGGGCTCCAGTGATTCTCCCAGCTTAGCCTCTTAAAGTGTTGCTGGGATACAGGCTTGAGCCACCTCATCCAAACTTCATTCTATGGGTTTTTTCACTCTCCTGATAGTATCCTTTGACACACAGTTTTAATTTTGATGAAGTCTAATTTATTTTTCCTTTTGTTGCTTGTGCTTTTGGTGCCACGTGTATGAAACCCATTGCCAAATCCAGAGCCATAGTGACTGGCTTCTTTACTAGGGTTGGGAGCTATGGCTTGCCCAAGGCCATGTCCCCAAAGTCTCTCACAACTTAGCACCCAATGGATGCTCACCAGATGTTTGTAGAAGGGATGACTATGTAGTGGGATGTGAGCTGGCCCTTGGTGGGGAGAGCGGTTTGTGTAGAGGTATAGCCTGACCAGGGACATGACTTTGAATAGATGTTAAGGTACCTTGTAAGCTGTAAGATGTGGTCTGACCGAAGAGGGGGGTACACATGAACAAATTGTGGAATTCTGGGGGATAGGTAGCTGAGTGAGGCCTTCAGCGGTGGCAAGGGCTTCTTCCATGTGATTATGGAAACCTAGATCCATGGAGGAAACTTGTGAGTAGTGGAGAAAGTTCCTCGGGGGAGGAAGGCTGGCTGTGACTTCATCTTTATACCATACTCTCTAGAATAGGGCCTGGCCAGTATTAGGCCTTAGTAAATATTCCAGTGGCCTGATGAAGGAGACTTTTAAGATATTTACATGAGAGGCTTTTCATGATATAGTCCTCCTTGTATATTCTACTCTAGCTCACCCTCCTTCCAAACTTGACCTTGACTTTCTTTTTTACTAGATTTGCCCCTCTCCCTGGGTGCTGTCAGCTCAGCTGCAGTACATCCCTCATAACCCTGCTTGGAACATCCTTGCCTCTCCTCTCCTATCTAATTCATCTCATTCCTCCAGGCCCAAGACAGTATCCAGTTATCCACAGAACCTCAACACTACTACTCCAGCACATCAGTGTGTGGCTCTGATCAGCCATACACTTAGCCATACACTTACCAGAGCTTAGGGTCACATGATCTTAGGTTCAGATCTCAGGCTCCAGTAGTTACTGTGTAACTTTGGGTGGGCCAGTCTCCCTCTCTCTGCCTTGGTTTCCTCATTGGAAAAATGGCAGTAATAACACTGATAAAATAGTTTTGTGACAGTGAACTGAGATCATAAATGAGATATAAAACCCTTAGTAAAGCATCCAGCTCATAGTAAGTGGTCAAAAATGGTAGCTGTACTGTTTTCTAGTTGTTTTCTGTATTTGGCTGTTCTCGTGTTGCTACAAAGAAATACGTGAGGCTGGGTAATTTATTTAAAAAAAAAAAAAAGGCTTAATTGGCTCATGGTTCTGCAGGCTGTACACGAAGTGTGGTGTTGGCATCTGCTTCTGATGAGGGCCTCAGAAAGCTTCCAATCAGGTGGAGGGCAAAGGGAGAGCCAGTATATCACATGGTGAGAGTGGGAGTAAAAGAGAGAAGGGGGAGGTCCCAGACTCTTTTAAACAACCAGATCTCATGTGAACTAACTGAGTGACAACTCATTTATCACTAAGGGGATTGTGTGAAACCATTCATGAGAGATCTGCCCCCACGATCCAATTACCTCCCACCAGGCCCCACCTCCAACACTGAGAATCACATTTCAACATGAGATTTGGAGAGGACAAACATCCAAACTGTATCATTTTATATATCTAAATCTTGCTTCCTCCACAAGATTGTGGGTTTTTTTCTTCGGGGCAGGGGCTGAGTCTTATGCTTATTTTAACTCGTATATTTGGCACAAAGCTAGGACTATAGTAAGTACTTAAGAAACATTTGTTGGTTTGAGGTGACTTTATGATTACTCGGAGTTACTTGCTTTAGGAGACAGTATATCATTATTAAATTCTATATTATTCCACTATTCATTTTCTGAAAGGCAACTTTTGCTTTGTTTTATGGGGATCTGGGACTGCCTTGTGGTAATCTGATTGTATGTGTGAGCAAGTGTGTGTATGTGTGTATGTGTGTGAGAGAGAGACAGAGTGGAGGGAATGGGGGAGGTAGTGACAATTGATTCCCTAAGAGGCAGAGCCAGCTATAGCTCACCATCCTAACCACTGCATCTAGCTTTCCTCTCCCAGCCCTAGAGCGGGGCTGTTATCTGCCCAGGGCAGCTGTTATGGCCCTGACTCCCCTGGGGAGGGCTGCTCAGGCCTTCCTCATTCTTCCAGGCTGCCTTTTTCCACAAAAGGAAATGAGGTCTTTTTGACCCTATCAGACTTCTCTGCCAAGGCATCATGTTTTGCAAGAGGCTATTGCCCTGGCTATATACAGTCCTGGGCAATGTGCTAATATTAAAGAAGCAAATTCAGGATAATGGTTACCTCTGGAGAAGGGAAGCAGGGCTATGAGCTCTGAGATAAAGCTTCAGTTATCTCTGAGGTGTTTATTTTTTATGCAGGGCTGTGGGGCATATGAGTGTTCATTTATTATCGTGAACATTATATAATCTTGAATGTGCCGCTTATTTCTATGCATGTATTATCCATAAATATTACCATATTTTTAGGGTATTTTCCAGCCTTATATATGTGTTGTGAAATTTTATGTGTACTTCAGCTACCTGTATTTTTTGCCTGACAGTTTTTGAGATTTGTCTGTTTTTTTGTTTGTTTGTTTTTTGAGACAGAGTTTTGATCTTGTTGCCCAGGCTAGAGTGCAATGGCATGATTTTGGCTCACAGCAACCTCTGCCTCCCAGGTTCAAATGATTCTCCTGCCTCAGCCTCCCAAGTAGCTGGGATTATAGGTGCCCACCACCATGCTCGGGTAATTTTTTATGTTTTTAGTAGAGACGGGGTTTCATCATGTTGGCCAGGCTGGTCTTGAACCCCTGACCTCAGATGATCCTCCTGCCTCAGCCTCTCAAAGAGCTGGGATTACAGGCGTGAGCCACTGCGCCTGGCCTAGATTTGTCTATATTGATATATGTAATATGAGACTTTGTATTAATATTCCATTTTATAAAGAGATATATGTATCTTTTCTGCTATGGGTAGACTTTTTAGTGGTTTCCTATTTTTCACTTTTGCAAACAGTGCTATAACAAATAGTCTGGTATGCAGTTCCTTGTGCCTAAGAGAAAATACTTGTGTGGGAGTGGACTGGCTAGGCCATAGGACATATATGCCTCTCTCTTTGTTCATATTGCCACATCGCTCCTCAGAGTGATTGTCCTGCTTTACCTTCCCACCAGCAGTGCACAAATGTTGATGTTGGCTATGTCCTTGCCAACCCTTGGTAGTTGTATCTGTGATTTCTCCTTTCTCTCCAGATCACCAGAAAAGGTGGGAGATAAGGTTTTGCAATTAAAGGAGAATGTCAGCTCTGAAGAATTTCCTGTTACATTTACTTTAATGAGGAAAAGATTTTGTTCTGTTTTGGTGAAAATAATGTTTAGACCTCTGTGGAAAACAGTTACATACACTTTTTATTCTGAAGCAGAGCAGTTTTTTCTTTTCTTTTTTTTCTGTTCGTATTCTTGGCAAACAAGTAGGAAAGACCAATTAGGAAGCTAATGGTTCTAAATATTTACTTGCAGTAATAGTCATTTTTAAATGTTTTATATAGCATGGAGCATTAGGTTTATGTTTACTGCCTTTCGATGTTTTGAATTGGTTAAAATGAATTAAGAATGTGACACAACTTTATGGATAAAGATTGATCATAATTATTTGCCATTTTATTTGCATTTTGTGAGGGAAAAATACATGGTAAGAAAATGTGTTGACATTTTACAAACGGGTTAGAAAAGTCATAAAGAGTAATTTTGGCTATTTTATGTTGTCTCTTATGTTCACAGGTGGGAAAGGAGAAGTTTCACAAATCCCAACATTGGGGCTTTTGCAACAATGTTATGATGTTAGTGAGTGATGAAAAGCCTGGAATAGGTGGAGAACCACTTCTGGGACAAAAGATAAAGCCGAAATGTAGCATATATCCTAAAGGAGATGGAAGTGATGTACCATCATGGGTAGCCTTTGATAAACAGGTAAGTCACATGACATTGGGAGGAATGCAATCTTAGAATTTTACAGATGCTAAATAGCTTTGAGAAAGTAGGAGTCTTCAGTGTAAATGTTAAGGCTAATTCTTTTTCTTTTTGCCTTTTCTACTTATTATTGCCTTTATTTTTAGTGTTTTATTTTTAGTGTTTCTCCCCTTGTCTTTATTAGTTTAAATTGACAAACATAATTGTATATATTTATGGTGTACAACATGATGTTTTGAAATATGTATACACTATGGAATGGCTAAATTGAGCTAATTAACATATGCATTACCTCATGTGCTTCTCTTTGTGATGAAAACACCATCTATTGTCTTACAATTTTCAAGTGTACAATACACTGTTATTAACTATAGTCATTGTGTTATACAATAGATCTCTTTGTTTTTTTTTTTTTTTTTTTGAGACCGAGTCTGGCTCTGTGGCCCAGGCTGGAGTGCAGTGACGCGATCTCAGCTCACTGCAAGCTCCAGCTCCTGGGTTCACGCCATTCTCCTGCCTCAGCCTCCCGAGTAGCTGGGACTACAGGCGCCTGCCACCACGCCCGGCTAATTTTTTGTATTTTTAGTAGAGATGGGATTTCACCTTGTTAGCCAGGATGGTCTCGATCTCCTGACCTCATGATCCGCCCGTCTCAGCCTCCCAAAGTGCTGGGATTGCAGGCTTGAGCCACCGCGCCCGGCCTTACAATAGATCTCTTAAACGTATTCCTTCTAAGTGAAATTTTGCTTCTTTTGACTAAGGTTAGTTCTTCTGAAAAGATAAATTCAAAGTATCCTAAACAAAGAAAAATTATTCTTGCTCTGCTCTTTTTTGTCAGGCACATTGGTTGCAGGATGCCAAATGTTTATCTTTCTTGGCTAATGCTTATTAACCTTTCTCTCATCTTCACTGAACAGGATAATCTGTCCTGTTCAGAGTCTGGTCAGATTGTCACTTTTGGTTTTGAGTTGCCATTGACTAAATAATTGTATTTGAGTCTGAACGTGGCTTTACATAGGAATAGAAAAATGCCTTCTCTTCTTTTCTCCATACTAACTAGTAATAAACCATAGTAATGATTCTCCATCCCTAAGGGCTAAAATGTGATATGGCAAGAAGAATAGTGAAAGGAAGCGATGCCATTATTAGACAAGAGCTGGAATTTTTTAATGTATATGTCTATACACATACACACACACACATACATATGGACATATTGGCAGTTAGAAAAGGGAATGTATTTGAATATTTTTTAAAAAGGCTAAGATCAAAGGAAAGAAAAGGCAACCAGTTATATGGATATGCTGTGTTTATCAGACGGCCCTGTATCCCAGCTCAATGTTCTGTTCTCCAGAAAGAACTAGTTATTAGATTATTTTAGATCCTGTAAGTGCAAGATAGTTCAGGACTAGATAAAGAATTGAAACCATAGCATGCTAAGTTTACCAGGTGGTTTTTAGCAGCTTTCAACATGGATTGATTGGCAGTACTTTGATTCTAATTAAAATGTCCTCAAATTTGGTAGAATTGACACATCCCCATGTCATCTGTGATAGGGTAGATCAATTAGAGTGCACTTTTTTTTTGAAGCCAACAGTGATCTAACAGACCACAGGGAGGCTTCCTTCCTGGGAAACCATCTCTCCTTTCAACATGGGCCAATATTCTTTTCTTTTCTTGGATTATTTTCAGTACCTGGCTCAGTGCTGGACCCAGAGCCCAAAAATAATTCCGGACTGACTGACTTGTGTGGATTATGCATAGTTTTCTGTTACTCTCAATCTTATAGGATGTTTACTTTGCATGGGCCAAAGAAAAGATTCTATTTTTACCTCATGTAAAAAAGAGGGTATTGACAATATTTTAAAACTAATCCACTACTGAATAAGTAACATAGGCCACAATGTATTAATATTAAACTATTCTCTTGCATTTCAAGTCAAAAAGTCATTTCATGTTTTTCTCAATATTTAATGTATGCCTTTCAAGCCTATTTTGCAGGCCTTTAATTGCTTATAAGATTATGTAGAATATTTCGTGAATCCGGAATAATTTTAGCTTCAGACTACTTGAGAAAATGAAGAGCTTGCTCATTTCAGGTCTAACTAAATGCAACATAATTCTTTCAGTTATTTTGTTGGTCAACTTCTATTAAATATTCATTGAGCTTTAAATGAGACACTAAGACTGAAATATTTACGTGCTCTGATGAGACTGTGAACTACAGACTAGATCCTGGTTAATACCCCAAGCAAATTATAAAGCGCTTTCTACAATAGCGGTTCAACAAAAACAAGTCAACTCCTGTTAATCATTTTTCTTAAAAATGAGACATTTTCGGTGCACCCCGTCCCAGCCGCCCAGTCAGGCCCCTCACTCTCCTTGGCTGCACCGCCACCGGGCTCTCCGTCCGCGTCCCGCTCGCGCACATCGCGGACCCGCAGCAGCTGCAGCTCTCGCGGCTGAAGGGGCTCAGCCTGGGCTACAAGGAGAACACGCCGCCGGCCCTGAGCGGGACCCGCGTCCTGGCCAGCAAGACCGCGAGGAGGATCTTCCAGGAGCCCGCGGAGCGGAAAACTACAGCAGCCGCCCCCGGCATGGAGGATGAGCCGCTGCTGAGACAAAACCCCTGCCGTTTTTGTCATCTTCCCCACCGAGTACCATGATATCTGGCAGATGTATAAGAAGGCGGAAGCTTCCTTCTGGACCGCGGAGGAGGTGGACCTGTCCAAGGACATTTGGCACTGGGAATCCCTGAAGCCCGAGGAGAGAGATTTTATATCCCATGTTCTGGTTTTCTTTGTAGCAAGTGATGGCATAGTAAATGCAAACTTGGTGGAGCGATGTAGCCAAGAAGTTCAGGTGACAGAAGCCCGCTGTTTCTGTGGCTTCCAAATTGCCATGGAAAACATACATTCTGGAATGTATAGTTTCCTTATTGACACTTACATAAAAGATCCCAAAGTAAGGGAATTTCGCTTCAATGCCATTGAAACGATGCCTTGTGTCAAGAAGGCGGCAGATTGGGCCTTGCACTGGATTGGGGACAAAGCAGCTACCTATGGGGAACGTGTTGTAGTCTTTGCTGCAGCGGAAGGCATCTTTTCTGGTTATTTTGCATCGATATTCTGGCTCAAGAAACGAGGACTGATGCCTGGCCTCACCTTTTCCAATGAACTTATTAGTGGAGATGAGGGTTTACACTGTGATTTTGCTTGCCTGATGTTCAATCACCTGGCACACAAACCACTGGAGGAGAGAATAAGAGGAAGAATTATCAATGCTGTTCGGATAGAACAGGAATTCCTCACTGAGGCCTTGCCTGTGAAGCTCATTGGGATGAATTGCACTCTAATGAAGCAATACATTGAGTCTGTGGCAGACAGACATGCCGGAACTGGGTTTTAGCAAGGTTTTCAGAGTAGAGAACCCATTTGACTTTATGGAGAATATTTCACTGAAAGACGAACTTCTTTGAGAAGAGAGTAAAGGAGTATCAGAGGATGGGAGTGGTGTCGAGTCCAACAGAGAATTCTTTTACCTTGGATGCTGACTTCTAAATGAACTGAAGATGTGCCCTTATTTTGCTGATTTTTTTCCCCCATCTCATAAAAAAATCAGCTGAAGTGTTATCAACTAGCCACACCATGAATTGTCCATCATGTTCATTAACAGCATCTTTAAAACTGTGTAGCTACCTCACAGTCCTGTTTATTTATAATGCTGGTAGTATCACCTTTTGCCAGCAGGCCTGGCTGGCTGTGACTTACCATAGCAGTGACAATGGCACTCTTGGCTTTAAAGTGAGGGGTGACCCTCTAGTGAGCTTGGCACAGCAGGATTAAACAATCATTTAACCAGCACAGGCAGTTGAAAGATGCAGCCTCCCTGCTTCAACACAGATTTTAATGTTTACTTAAATATAAAACTGGCCCTTTACAAACAAATAAACATTGTTTGTACTCACAAGGCGATAATAGCTTGATTTATTTGGTTTCGACACCAAATACAAAGCATTCTCCTGACCACTAATGGGAGCCAATTCACAATTCACTAAGTGACTAAAGTAAGTTAAACTTGTGTAGACTAAGCATGTAATTTCTAAGTTTTATTTTAGTGAATTAAAATACTTGTTAACCAACTTTAAAGTCAGTCCTGTGTATAGATAGATATTAGTCTATTGGTGCCAGATAGAAGACAGGTCGTGTTTTTAACCTGTGGCTTGGGTAGTGTCCTGGGATTCTCTTCTCTGAGTAAAGTGTTGTGGGATAAAGAAATCTCTCAGGGCAAGGAGCTTCTTAAGTTAAATCACTAGAAATTTAGGCATGATCCGGACCTTCATATGTGTGAGAAGCCATTTCATTTTATTTCTTACTGTATTTTCCCCAACTTCTAGTTGATAAGAAAAAAATCTTGAAGAGTTTTCATATGTGGGAGCTAAGGCAGTATTGTCAAATTTCAAGTCATCCGAAGGTTTGTCATACTTGTGGAGGCTGAACGGCGCAGGTATTGGTGCAAATTGTCAGTCATCCTGTAAAAAAATGACCCAAAGGATCTTGCTCCTGTTAAGTGGGTGAAATCAACTAGAGGTGGTTCCTACAAGTTGTTGTTTATTCTGGTTTTGTTTGTGTGTAAGTAGTTGGTGTGAGTTAATTCATTTATATTACTATGTCTTTTAAATCAGAAATTTTTTATTATGTATGTCCTTTAGATTTGCCTGTAGTTCATACTTTAAAATAATCACCCAGTGTCTTATTTCTAGCATTGTCTAAATCTGAGTATTATCTGAGGGAATCTAAACTTCAGTAGGAACCATGAGTTTATTAATATGGTTTCCTTTAATAATAAGTTCAGAAGGAAACAGAATTTTTTTTTTTTTTTTTTTTTTTAGACTGAGTCTTGCTCTGTCGCCCAGGCTGGAGTGCAGTGGTGCGATTTCGGCTCACTGCAACCTCCACCTCTGGGTTCCAGCAATTCTCCTGTCTCAGCCTCCCGAGTAACTGGGACTGCAGGTATGTGCCACACACCCGGGTAATTTTGTATTTTTTAGTAGGAGCGGAGTTTCACCATATTGGTCAGGCTGGTCTTGAACTCCTGACTCAGGTGATCCACCCACTTCGGCCTCCCAAAGTGCTGGGATTACAGGCATGATAAACAAATATTCTTTATAGGGCTACTTAGAATTAATCTGCCTTTAGTTTGGGAGAGAAAAGCTGAGACCATTGCATGAAAGATGATGAGAGATAAATTGTTGAATCTTTTGGCTCCATTTTTAATTGTATTCACTATTGAACATTGTCCTGTTCTATTGTTAAGTTTTTCTTCATCATTATGGTATATCAATTTTAAATCTCTTAATATCATACATTTCCCATATTTCATTAAAATGAAGAAAGGCCAAAAAAAAAAAAAAAAGAGAGATTTTCAACTTGTTGCCAGTTTTTCCAGTAGCTTTTAATCCTAGCAATATATCTAGCATTATGCTCTCAAATAATACAAAGTAAAAATAAAGGCGGTTCTTTGGAAAGTGTATTAAAATTAACATTTATAGTAGATGCTCTTTGTGCCTACCCAGATCCATGCTGGGGTGGTGCTCCCCCACCCCCAGCTGTGACAAATGCTTTGACAAACAGCTCACACCTGTAACCCTCTCTGGAGCCTTGCTCTTGGCTGATGGGCGTTGCATCTCTCAGAGACACCTGGGAGGTTACACTGGCCCCTTTCCACCAAGAGGGGGCAGATAATAACTGATTTATCAAGGGTAAAAAAAAACCAGCTTCCTTGCCTGAAGGAGGGATAATTCTTTGCTATGATTCCGGCTCCATAGCCCCTCGTGCATCAGGCCAAGGCTACACTTGACCTGAGAATGCATCCTTGCTTGCGCGGCTCATTTCCTTTGCTGCTTCCCTCATACTCTTACAGGTTTCTCCCAAGAGTCTGCCCTTAATAAATCACATGCACTAAAATCCCTGTTTTCAAGCTCTTCCTCTATGGAACCCAACCTAAGACAACATTCCAGGTTTTAATCCGTAATTCTGAAAGCAACGACCAAAATGCCTTGCTCAAGTAGACAATCACATTACAAGCAGAGAAAAGGTCATTTGCAATCACGAAAAGGAGCCAGTATTTGTTATCCCGCATGGCCCCTGTGGCAGACACTTCTAGCTGTTTATCCTTTGTGCATTCTACCCTTCCTTCTTATGGGCAGAACAGTTTTATGCAGGCTGGAATTGTGCCCACTTAAATGTGTTACCTCCCCAGGCTCCTTGCAGCTAGGGCTGGCCGCATGACTCACTTTTGGCCAATGATATATGCATTAAGGTTTATTGGGTGGGGCTCCTGGGAAAGTTACTATTTTTCTAATGAAAACAGGCTCAGCGGGTATGATTTCCTTGCCTTTTGCCCTCCTTTTGTTTTTCCTGTCTGGAACTAGTGTTACCGAACCAAACTGGGTCCATTTACCTGCATGCAAGGGAAAGCCGAACGCCAAAACACAAGGTTTTTTCAGCAAGAAAGGTTTATTGAGTTGATTGGCAAGGAGACAGGAGGAAACGCTCAAACCTGTCTCCTGGAGCTGGGGGCCGGGTCAGGTTTCATAAGCATAGTGTAATGAGGTGTGATCTGATTGCATCTTGCAATGAGTTGATGCTGGGAGGCATAATCTAACTGGATCCTGCTATGGGGTGACACCAGAGCGTGATCTCTTTGGTTCCTGGATCCTGCCATATAGGGTCCATTGTTTAATTCAGTCCCTGTTCCTTGGTCCAAGCACTTAGATTTCACCTGTGCACACTTGGTTCAACTGGTCATGCTTGGGTTGTATGACCTTCGACCCTGGGGTTCACGGCAACTGAAAAACAACTCACGATTTTGTTATATAAAAGTTGAACTAGATTAGTCTGGTGTGGTTACACTAGGACATAATTCCTAGGGCATAGCAGCCATCTTGTGAGCATGACAGAGATAAAGGAAACCTAGGTCTTTGCTGGCATCATGGAGCCACTGTTTAAGGCCGAGGCTGCCTCTCTTCGGACTTGTAGTTATATGAGAAAAATCAAGCCATATTTCAGAGATTCTCAACCTAGCAAGGTATTTGGAAATATGTGGAGGTGTTTTGGGTTGTCACAATGATCAGGAGCTGGGCCGAACTAGGGTAAGGCAAGTGAGGCACTTGCCTTCGGTGCAACATTTAAGGGGTACCCCCACACTCAGCAATTAAGCTAGGTAATATTTTATTATTATCTAGTTATTATTAAGCTAGTATAATGTTTAAAAAAAATCAAATTAATGCCAGAAATTCATGATGAACAAAATGCCAACATTTTAATTAAAGACAAGATCAGTAACTGTGCCATGGAAGTTATATTGGAGCCTGAGGCAAAAGGAAAAATCAGTAACACTGATCCAATCTTTATTAAAAATTTGGCATTTTGATATTTTGTTCCTCCTGGATATTTTGCATTATTTTTGTTTTATTTTATTTTATTTTATTTTTTGAGGTGGAATCTTGCTCTGTTGCCCAGGCTGGAGTGCAGTGGCACGATCTTGGTTCACTGCAACCTCCGCCTCCCAGGTTCAAGTGATTCTCCTGTCTCAGCCTCCCGAGTAGCTGGGACTTCAGGCGCCCACCACCACACCCAGCTAATTTTTGTATTTTTAGTAGAGACGGAGTTTCGCTATGTTGGCCAGGCTGGTCTTGAACTCCTGACCTCAGGTAATCCACCCCCCCTCAGCCTCCGAAAGTGCTGGGATTACATTAATTTTCCTGGCTTGCATTAATTTTGATGTTTTAAATCACCTCACCCTAGGGCCAGCCCTGACCAGGAGGTGCTGCTACCATTGAGTATCCAGGGGCCAAGTGTATATTTTATATCCTGCAATGTGGGGAAGGCAACCCTACATTGGGGAAGAATTGTTCTACCTCAAATGCCAATACTGTTTCCATTGAGAAACACAGTGCGTGTACTACTTGCTTAAAACCCCTAGCATTGGGAGAATTTCTAAAAGCAGGCAAGAGAATTTTGCTTAATACTGCATCCACCCTTCAAATACTTAGTTATTTCATTGAATTCATTTAAATAAAAACAGACTATGGTGGGACCAAGACAAAAACAAGACTACTCCATAATCCTAACTGTCTGAACACAGAACACGAACACCGTCCAAGTCACAAAATGCGTCACTCACACCAGTTATTTCCAGTCATCATCCCAGTACCTCCATGAGTAAGAAGCAAATGTAGATGGTTGTCCTCACCATATAAATGAAGAATCATTCTCAAGGAGAAACGGAGCAGGAACCAGAGTCTGAGACTGGGTGTTGGTGGCACTGATTCTGGTTCTGGTCCCGCCATTAACTATACGTGTGATTGTGCCTTAGTCACTTTACCTCTCCGAGCCTCAGTTTCCTTAACTATAATGCAAAACTTGGCTAGCTGATCTGTAAGGCCCTTTTACCTCTGGCAATTTATGTCTAAGACTTGACTAAAGTCAAATTCAGCTTGTTTATCCTAGAACTGAGCCCAGAGCCTGGATCTCATGGTCTAGGACTCTCTAATTACATCAGGCACCCACTACTTCATTATTAATTGAAATTTGGCATTTAGCAGTTTATGCTACACTGTGGTGGCTGTATAAGATCTATAGTTAGCTGCTTTTATAAAACGTTGGAATATTTAGAAATATACAAATGACTGAATGTTTTTATATGACTTTCGTCTGGATGTTAAGCCCCATTTACATAGACTCTACAATTTTGCTGTCATTTTTCATTTGTCAACAGCTCCTAGTTAGCCTAATTTGTTTGCTATTTCACAAATGACTCAATTATAGTAAGTGGCAAGATAAAAGTTGATCTTATGGGATATGCATACATTTAAAAATATTATTTCTTGGCTGGGCGCGGTGGCTCAAGCCTGTAATCCCAGCACTTTGGGAGGCCGAGACGGGCGGATCACGAGGTCAGGAGATCGAGACCGTCCTGGCTGACACGGTGAAACCCCGTCTCTACTAAAAAATATGAAAACTTAGCCGGGCGAGGTGGCGGGCGCCTGTAGTCCCAGCTACTCGGGAGGCTGAGGCCGGAGAATGGCGTGAACCCGGGAGGCGGAGCTTGCAGTGAGCTGAGATCCGGCCACTGCA